ACACAAATCTGGTATTGTACATCAACGAAGCAACTAACTGCTTAGAAAATAAAATTCAACCGGACACAATATTCGTGGATTTTAACAAGGCCTTCGACTGGGTGGACTTTGGTGTTTTTCTGCAAAAGTTATAAAGATTTGGACTCTCTAACAATATCATGAATCTTTTTGGGAGCTATCTTCAGAATTGATATTTTTTGGTAAAGCATGTCGAAAATACCTCAGACAAATTCCATGCTTCTTTAGGGGTACCCCAAAGTTCAAACTTGGGGCCCTTTTTTTAGTTGTTGTTTAATGACATTCCAGATTATATCGACCACTCCAAATGTCTGCTTCTTGCCACCCTACAGAAAGATTTGAATAGTTTATTAGTATGTAGTGTTCGATGTAAGTTAGATTTCAACCTACAAAAATGCCAAGTTATGGCAATAACCCGCCAAAAGGATCCCATTTCTTTTGACTACTGCATGAACAACGAATCGCCAAAAAGAGTGCATGAATGCAAATACTTAGGAATAACCTATGATTGCAAATTATTATTTGAGAAACATATTGAAATTATAAGAAATACGGCAAATCGAGCTTCAGGATTCATTTCAAGACAGACTTCTCTTTTTAGTATCATAGATTACATAAAAGTACTGTATTTCACAAATACAGTTCTGAAATTTGGAATAGAGAATTACAGGAACTAGAAAAAATACAGAACAAATTTTTGAGGTACCTAAATAGTAAGAAATATTGAAGTAAATAAGAATACATCAGCATTAGAACAACAGCATTAGATAATAATACAACCCCATATTATATTGTTTTATATAATATATCATTTCAAGTGCTGGTATATTCATGTATGTTCATTATAAGTCATCCTTGTATTGAGGCCACCAGGCCTGTTAGGGTGAAATAAATAAATGGATAAATATGATGATTCAAATGACAGTGACCTGTAAGAAGTTCATCCCTACTATAGTCCAACAACTATTGGGTATCAAGCTTCGAAGAGTGAATAAACGCCTTGAAATTAGCCAATCCTGTAAGATTCTGCTAGAAATCAATGAATCTTCTTGCTAACCAGGTGTTTGGCAGAGCCTAAAGTTATGCCAATGACAGGCTCTGGTCCAATGAATCTGCTTGCAGCACCCTTCTTTGCAAGGGAGACAGCAGCCTCATTACCTTTCAGGCCAGTTTGGCCAGGAATCCAGACTAGAGACAATCTGTTGAGTCTACCTATCTTGGAGAGTCGCTTTTGGCAATTTGCTACCAATTTACATGTTGCTCGATAGGAGCCGAAAGCTTTCAACGCCGCTTGAATGTCCGAGAATATTTTTATTGACTTGCGTATGGAGTTGGATTCTCCCAATCTCTCCGCACACAATTCAATAGCGTGAATATCTGCTTGAAATACATATTTTCCATAGGTTCTGGGTTTGCGACTGTGAACCAACAACTATCTACTCTTAATATTTCCTTCTTCCGGAGGATCCAGTCCACTCTACTCAGGAACAGTAAATTATAAGGCAGTTCGTAGTTGACAATTGAAAGCATAAAGTCAGAGGTCATTTTCAGAATGCCGTGACTTCCAGTGTCAACCAATAGTCCAATGCACTCTGCATTGAATTGATTTGTGCATTTAACAATGTGCACAAATCTATATTATGCAGTCCATCTAGGCTCTCTCTCTCTCTCTCTCTCTCTCTCCAGAAAAATGTGGAGAGGAGGTAGATCCAGAAGGATCTCTATGGCCACCGACGGTGTGATACTGATGGTTCCACTGATGGCCTGACAAGCCTGTCTCTGTAAGCCAGAGAGCTTCGTCTGGGCCGTTTTCTGTGAAGCCTTCGGCCACCAGGCAAGTATCACCACAAATCCTTCGACATGTGCATAGGGACAGTCTGGCTTTGTGTAAAAAATTTTCCAAGTGAGCATTCCTGGTGAGTTTTTCATCAAGGATAATGCCAAGATATTTCACCTCCGTTCCTAATGGAATGATCTCACCATTGACGAAAATTGGCGTTAGATCGTTTAATTTTCTTCTTTTTGTTGATATGATTATCAGTTTTGCTGGGTTTGACAGACATCTGTTGTGAACAACGTCCGTCGTGGTTTGAAGGATAATACAAAATACCTTTTCCAAATTGGACTTTGGAAAAGGTAGTTTGCCATGGTCATCTCCATAAGCTTACAGATCTACTTTTTTTTGTCGAGGGCAACAAGCAGACTACCCATCAGCAGCGAACATAGAAGGGAGATAGTACCCCACCTTGAGAGCAGCCTCTAGTGACCCTTGAAGAGTAGTAGATGCAGTTCTGTTTACCAGCATAGCATAGATCCAGCCAGTTATGGTCAATTCTTTTCCTAGTCAGAGATGATTCTATAGATTTAGGCAGTGCATTGTCAAATGCTTCTTCAATATCGAGAAATACAGCAACCACAATTTCTTTTTTGTGAAGGGAATGGAAGATTTTCTCCACAAGGTTGTTTATTCCTAAATTTGTCCATTTGCTGGTTTGATGAGCATATTGGTGGTTATTCAGGGGAGATGCTATTCAGAGGGGATGCATATAATGCTACTTTCCTGATGTGTCCATCCAGTACTCTCACAAGTCCTTTCAGCAGGAAGGATGTGAGGCTGATTGGTTATACCGATTCAGGGTGTGGGTCTTTCCGACCCACTTTGGATATATATACTACCCTTGCTGCCAACCAACTGGGTGGTATATAGTTCCATGCCAGACTTGCTCTATACAATTTTATGAGAATAGGTAAAGTTATTTTTGGTTCGTTTTAAAGAAGAGCTGGGAATATACCATCCTCTCCAGGAGATTCAAAGGGCTGAAACAACTTGATAGCCGATCAATCTGCCAGTGCTATGATAACCTTCTTGACGACCTCTCAATCGTTCTTTTTATGGCGTTTAGTGTCCTCGAAGATGGGAGGTCTGTTGTTATCAAGAGTCAGATTTCCAGGAAAGTGGTTTTCTATCAAAAGATTCAACGTTTCTTTATCGGAAATTGGAAATCGCAATTTCTGCAATTGGCTCTCTACAGATAATCTTGTGAATTCTTGTGCTGCGAGGTATATCAGAGATACTCTCACAGAACTTCCTCCAAGACTCCCTATGATATGTGTATCCATGACAAAAGAATGACCATGGAGTCATCAAAGGATACGACACTAAGTCTACAGAGAAAAAGGATTTCGACCAAACAACCCCAACGATCTTCCTTATAACTTCCAAGCGAGGTTGAGACATCACCACTAATTCATAGATCCTTTCGAAAAGTGTTCGATTGAATTGATTTGTTCGATGCCATCCAGAGGAGAGTCAGACTGTCGTCAGCAGATTACAACTGCCCATTACTTCAAAGTTCATCTCAACATACGTCCAGAACTTTTTCATTTGAAGAATGGCATCTTTATGGAATGTTATTCTCGTTTAATTTGTTTCAAATGGATATGATCTACAGCTATTCGATTCCGACGAAAGTCTACTTTCGCATGGGCACCGATTCCAAAGCGCCCTGAAGAGTTATGTAATGCAGAAAGCAATTAATTGCCATTTCCAAAGCAGAATATCTTATGAATCTGCTTTGCACTAAATTCTTGGCCAGTAAAAGCAACATCTGCTATAGGAGGATAATCAAATTTTTTTCAAGCATGTCAGCAAACATTCATGCTAAAAGGAAGATTCACCCAAATCTGGAGCGTCAAGTATAGCTGACTCATAGATGCTCTCATCTGAAAAGGTTGTTGACAACCATCTCAATGAGAACCAATCAACTGTAATCTTTACAGTATGCCAATATGATTTTAAGTTTTGCTTGTGGAAAAGAACATCCTGGAACACTCTGGGATCTTGTGTAATGTTTTGGCCAGTCTGAAATCATCAGGGATATCCCGGAGTATACTCCGGGAATGTTGTAAAATATTCGGGAATGATCTGGAATATTTCATAAAATTCTTGAACATCCCAGACTATTATGGAGTTATCAAGGGTGTTGGTGAGGCAGATGTCCATCTGCAAAAACGAGACTTTTCATTTCACATGATGAAAACCACATAAGTCAATATGAGAATGAGAAAAACAGAGAATCGCGGCGGAATACATTGTTTCATGATAGTTCCATAATATAATCCAAATTCAACATAATTTGGAAAAACGTTCAGTTGTATATTTGAGGATAGGTATCTTCAGTGTACCTGCTTTAAGGTGCAGTTTCCAAAAAATATTTACATCTAGAAGAATTTGTGATGCACGTTTGGAACCTTTGGTGTAGTAATGAATATTAGTGTAGTTTTTTCCCTACACCAACCCGTTATTTCAACACCTCGAACCCTGTTTCGATCACCAAGTGATCATCGTCAAGAGGAAAATCAGTTTGATCTTCCTCTTGAAGATGATCATTTGGTGATCGAAACACGTGTCGAGGTGTTTAAATAACGGTTTGGTGTTGGGGAAAAAAACTTCATTAATATTCATCTAGAAGAATGTGGGAATTCTAGGCTGTTAGGATGTATTTGTATCAAATATATTTTACGTTGGAGGTTCCAGCTTAACTTTTCAATGGACATAATTAAATTTAAAAGACGTGTATTTTGAAAATTCTTCGTGAGATTCTTGAAGAATATTTTATTCAGAGGGTTTGTGAACTAATTCTTCAATTGCAGATAAAATTTTACATTATTTGAAGCTACTGAGAGACTTTAAATTTTTTTTGAATACTTTCACGAACATAATATTATTTTTCCATCGAAAACAATAATTTCGATTATAAATTAATTTTCAAATGAGGTTGCTCACTTACTACATCCTACATTGAGTTCTTATGACTCATTCAATCGATACATGATTTTCCTTTCGCAAAATGATTTCTTAATTGCTACTTTTCTTCGTGCAAATACTACATATTAAAAAAATTAAATCCACGCGATGGTTGGGGATGACTACCATCTGTGAAACATAAAAGATCTCGATAATAACTTTGCTATTCATTAACAATAACGTGAATATCAGGAGCAGTGCAATGATCGTTTGGTTTCAGTGGTAAAAATATCATTTTTTAAAATGATTTCGATGTGTAGAGTAGTGATAATGACGACGCTTTGCGTGTATACATCAGAGGCAACATGGCTCAGTGACATGACTTCTCCGAAGGGGTGGCAATTTGGAGAAGGGATGGTTTTTCATCTTCAAGACACGAAAGTGAAAAATAACTCTTTATTAGAGAGGATTGCTATCAGATTTGACTTTGGAAACGTAGGTGTTAGTGCTACGCAAAAGCCCGAAAATGAAGCTATCGAGTTGGACTTTTACGTGAAGGAAAGAGAAGAAGGTGATTTGAGTATTTGCTCTCAGATAGATATTATCTAAAATGTTTTAGGGACATCAAAATTGAATTCGAAAAATTTCAAAAATTTTTAGTTTCAGCTTTTGGATGGAAAACTCTGTTATACAGTATGGTCTGACAAATATGTCACAGATAGAATTTTTTTGACGAGTTGAATAAACATGATGAGATAACTTGGAATACTCCAAGTCAAACAGCATACTGGGCAAGTCAAAAAATATTAAATTTTTTTACTCTACTTCTGAAAATACAACAGAATATTATTTGGAACAGGTATCCAAATCTATTATTCTTTGGTAAAATTTGAGTTACTAGCGTATGTTATATTTTTTCAATGCTCTGAATAATTAAATATCCAATCAACACTGGTGGGCACGTCATTCATTATATCGGTATTACAAACTGTAACGTTTTTGCAAAGTGATGATTAAATACCTATATATTTCACAGAATTTGAAGTATTACTATTTGAATTCTGTCGAAAAACGAAGCAATATTGATTTATCATTGGATATATCGCACCAAACGTTTGTTTCAGAATAATATTGATCTTAGTTATCCTTTACAAAACTTGGGTGTTCATCTCACCATTTTGTAGTAATATGTGGTGATATGTAATTTGGGGAATGCTAGAATAATTTTCAATTCTAAATAACTTTTTATAGTATATCTCAAATACTCTCCCCATTCGTTATCCGTGTTAGGAATCACACGTTAAAAGGTAAGACCTCGTTAATCCTTAGCTCGCACAAGTTTCGACTTCTGAGGGTTGTCGTTCGTAGGGGTGCGACAGCTGGTTAACGGAAAAACAGATTTGGATCAGATTTTTTTTAAACAGATTCGTTTTCCAAAAATCGCAACTTACTTATATCTCTCAAATTTTTCGAAAAAAAAATCTAGATGGAATTGACCAATACTTGAAAATCCATGAATTACGTATTCAATAAACACCATATTGTGAGATTTTCACTAAACGATTCAGGACACGCCCGAAGAAGCCATTGTATGACGAAACACCTGTTGTCTTTTTGTGAAATCGTTTAGTACAAAATCTCACAATGAAGTGTTTTTTGAATAAGTACCTTGAAAAAATCGGTTCTCATTTATCAATTCAATATTTCGCACCAAACGTTCATTTTTCGATGATACTGACTTTTGTTATCTGACCACCCTGTACAATAGAATTTTTTGATGATGCACCATGTGTGGTATTCGAATATTATCTTCAATTCAGAAAAACTTCTCTGAATAATATTCTGTTCTATTATTTTTTGAAATGGAGGTATTACACGTTATAATTGAAAGAATTTAATATTTTTTTAACTGCCCTGTATGCTGTTTGACTCGAAGCCATTTGGGCACCTAATATAGTTAGCGAACATGTAGTAACTATTGGCGTTACATATTTCTCCAATTGATATTGAATTTTAGGCTTCCATTTACAAATATTGAATTCAATATATCTCATCAATTCTCTTCTTTATATCATTTCTGATCGAAAATAAACTATTTTATCTGACTGGTTCGATGATTACAACTGATCTAATTTCAATAATCACATCATCAGGGCCTTATCACAATATTTTTCATATGGATACTTCCGACAATATCATTTTACATGTGTTAACTCAACAAAAACTCATTTATTCTATGTTAGACCTTTCAGTAGATAAAAAAATGCAAAAAACATAATAGAAATACACACAAATGACAAATATGCTACATTCAAAAGAACAATAGTCTATGAAGGAATTTTGGAGTCATTCAACAAATAAGGGCTTCTCAAAAATTTAGTTGAAGATCTAGAATAACTTTCACTAGTTCGGACTTCTATTGTCTATTATATAANTCATCACAGTAGTGATGAACTACGATGCCTAACAGGCCTTTTCACAGGCCACTGTCATTTAAATCATCATATGCATATACTTTGTGCCTGCCCCGCTTGGGACCGAATCAGGTTCTTAGAGTTCGGCAGAGCCGTACTCTCACAATCTGACCTGAAAGACCACTCACCATACAAACTAATCGGCTTCGTCAAGAAGCTGGGTTTATTTGGCCGGGTGTGAATAGGTGTGAGCCACAATAAACCATTGCAGGTTGCGGTGGAGGATCGAATAGACCCTCTCACTTCAAACCTAACCTAACCCAACCTTTTTTCAAGTAAAGTGATTCTCAAGTAAGTTTTCTTGTGTAAAATAGTTTTATTTATGTATGTCATTCCCAGAGAAAATTTGTATTAATATCTTTATGTTCTAGGAAGAAGTAAAAAGATGGGTAACATGATGATTCCCTACCTGTTAGGTGCTGTTAAAGCTGGTGTCATGACTATGGCACTTGGTACTTTGAAAATATTGGCTATGAAATCCCTTGTATTAGCTAAAGCAGCTCTGATAATGACTCTTCTCATTCTCGGTTTGAAATTTCTGAAACAAGAACAGGAGCCGGCAAAATACGTAGAAGTTAGTCCTCCTGGAACATATGAGTTCTACCCCTCACAGGACTATGGAGGTAAGTGGAATCATATGAGTTTTTGTACTTAGTCTCTGAGAAGTACATACGAGGTTGATTCCTGCTTGTTTCTTTTTCTGGCTTCTGTTGGTACAGATATGGCCTATGTTAGCATATGTGTAGTTTTCAGCAAACAAGTACTCTTTAAGTTTGCACTTGACTGTACCGCCTATTCAGTGATGGATGAACGAATTGTTCAATTCGTTATTGATAGTAAAGTTTCATTATAATTTCCATTCATTTCTAATAAAAAAAGTATTTATTATTATATATTCCTGAGTTCTTGAGTTTTATAAACATCATCAACGAAATTACAAGATGACAAGGTTATCTGCATAAGCTTCCAGATCTACTTTTCTTCTGTCGGAAGCATCTAGCAAACTATCCATCAGGAGTGACCACTGAAGGGGGGATAGTACCCCACCTCAAGGACAGTCTCTGGTGACCATGAATCTAATGGCCTCGCCTTGAAGAGTCGTAATTGCAGTTTTTTTCACCAGCATGGCATAGATCCAGCAAGTTATGGTCGATTCTATACCTTTTCTAGCCAGTGATGATACTATAGATTTGGGTAGTGCATTGTCAAATGTTCCTTCAATATTGAGAAATACAGCAACCGCCATCTCCTTGTTGTCAAGGGATTGAAAGATTTTCTCTACAAGGTTGTTCAATGCTAAATCTGTCGATTTGCCTGTTAAATGAGCATCCTGGTGATTGTTCAGAGGCAATTCATATAATGCCACCCTCCTGATGTGTCCGTCCAGTATCTTCTCAAGTCATTTCAACAGGAAGGATGTGAGGCTGATTGGTCGTATCGATTATTGGTGTGGGTTTCAGAAGAATATGCTTCATTTCAACACATTTTACACATCAATCTATATTGATTGGTAGTGTGTCTGTAAGCTTTTTTATTTTCCTTTTACTGTTATTTGAAATCTCATCATCAAATTTATCACTACAAATACAGACGAAATTTGGGAATACCTTTAATTCAATATTGAATAAAATTTTTGTAGTTTACTTTCTGGCCAACTCTCTGAAATAGTTGTCGACTTCTTATTAGGAATGAATTATTCTTAGGAATTCCCCTTGGGGTATTTCAGACTACATTGTGAATATTTAATCGAGATAATGCTTCCACGGTATATCAAGAGGTTATCAATAGGAGGAAAAAAGTTCAAATGAATCTCTATCATCCATTGGTGTGCGAATAAGACAATAACTAGGTGTATAAGATCTTTTCAACAACATTTCAAATCCTTGACTATTAACATTCAAATATAGTCAGTTATAGGTAAACATCCACTTTGGAATATACCATATAAATAATTTGGCTTTGATGACCTTTTAAATATTGAGCATTCAGTAACATATATTTATTGGCTTCACTATTGAAATTATGAGCCAATACCTAGTTTATCCATATATACAGGCTGATGTGTCAGTTTTTCTTGAAAACATTTCTTTGAAGGAACTTTATGAAACCTTCAGATGAAAATGTATTCAATTTTTTCAAGGTTATGGTGATGCTGACAGCTACAGCGCCAATATGAATTCATACGTACCGTATAGCGGATACCCACTAAGTGCGGCTGGATCGACATTGAACTACGCAACAATAGAAGTACCTGGCAATGACACGCTACCACTACTGCAGGTGCTACCAGGAACCAAGCGGCATGATCAAAACCGGAGGAAGGTCACACCATCGATCTTGACCATACGACGGTACAGTAAACCTGATGCAGGAGTCATTTAGGGGGAAGAGGAGCAAAGCATTGATTACCTGAATTTTTTTTTTCAAAAATATTTTGTCTGTCCCACTGAGAAGTGTAGGAGTGGAATGAATATGCAGATATGTAGGAAATAGTTCAATGATTATACCTATGAATGTAAAGAAAACAAATAACTAGTTATTTAAAATCCCGTACTTTTAACAATATTCTGTTCGCGTATTTTATTATGAGATTTTGAATCTACAGAGTCACATTTTATGCTACAAATACATCGCAGGATTCCAAGACTTCGAAAATGATAAATTATGCAATAAACTTATTTATTCCATTCAACGATTATCCGAAAATGGCAATTGAAAAATTCAAACGTCCAATCATTTTGATATTCTTGAAATATAAGCACACCCTTCTTTAGTTTAGAACAGTTCGAAAAGAAAACTGTCATATATTTTCATACGGAAATATTTCTTGTTTCGGTAAATGAACCAGAAATGATATTTTTGATGTTTCAAAGATCGCGCTAAGTCGCAGAGAGCCACAATAAACCCTTGCAGGTCGTGGTAGAGGGTCGAGTAGACCCACTCACTTTGGACCTAAGTCGTAGAGATACACATGATACCATAGAATGAGAGTAACCAAATGCTAATCGATACTAACCTGAAGTTATGACAATGGTTACCTGGAACACCAAGAATTAGTGATTGTTCTCGGAACACATCGTCAAGCTGCAAAAGTGCAATTTTGGTCCATTGAGATTATTTGTGAAAAATAGTACCCCTAATATTCGCTAAACAAAATGATGTTAATGAAAGAGGACTGAGGTTTTGAAGTAACCGTAGAATATTTGCCGGTGACTTGATAGAACTTTGGTTCTCTGAATTTCAAAAAAACATGTTCAAAATTGAATATATAAACGCACACAAAATCAGATGCTGTCAGAAAGAAAATAGTAATATAGATACAAGTTTGCTAGAAAAAAATATTCATGATTCAAGTGAGGAGAACTTGGAGAGAACAAATCATATCCTGAAACTGAAAAATCAAAACCATGTACTCATCAGGGATATCCCGGAGTATACTCCGGGAATGTTGTAAAATATTCGGGAATGATCTGGAATGTTTTATAAAATTCTTGATCATCTCAGACTATTAAGGAGTTATCAAGGGTGTTGAATGGTGAGGTAGATGTCCAGCTGCAAAAACGAGACTCTTCATTTCACATGATGACTGTGCTTTTGGAGATATAAGAGCTGTTAGTTTTGGAGAACATTCCAGGATATTGATGAAGCGCCGATGATCTGTTCGTGAATGATCAGGAACTTTCGAAAATATCCCGAAATATTACAGGATCATAGTTGAATGAAATTGAGTTATTTGTTGTTTTAGCAGCCGTTCGCCACCTATTTATAAAGAATGTTTTTGCTTCCATCTGAAAGATGTGCATTCAAAGATATAGTGCTAGAGTTTTCGCCTTTTGGAAACTTCTTAAACTGTCTAAAAGATTAGAACATTTTGCAATATCTCGTACCATTTGAAGCGTCAATTTTGTAGGTAACACAGCACATTGTTTGGAGTATATAAAGCAAGACTCGTCGAACTCAGATTTGAAGTTTAAACTTTCATTTCAATGAACACATAACCTCATATCAACCAGGCTTCCTAGCTAGTGTCTGATAATGAAGACCTTTGATAAAATTCACTTGAACGAAAGTTTATCCATATTGATCAATTTGGCGACTTCAACTTTTGAAATAATCCATTATGTGAAACAAAACCAACCCATTTGCAACTTATCTTTATCAGGTATGTCGCACTGGTTTATCAGGCCACTTTAATTTATTCAATCGCGTGATTGTTTCAATTTCGTATTCATTTGATGCAGATCAATATCGTGTTTATCTGAATGGCTTTCCATCTACAACATTCTATGTGGCTATTATTTTGAAATAATAATATAAAAACATTATTATATTATTGAAAAAAAATATGTTTTAAAATTTGTTTTTCCTTTATTCAGCTGTCGCACCCCTACGAACGA